TAGTCAGAAAGGAATTTAGGTTGAAAAAAAAATCACATTTGGAGATAGAATGATGTATTCAGATCCGAATAGAATTAAATAGATATTATTAAATTTATTAAGTAATTCCCTAAAATTTACTTAAAAGGGAAATATAAATATTTTAGTTGATTATAAAAATATTGATTAAGAAGGTTAATAAAAAATAATTACAATAAGTGTTTCAGATACAGGAGTAGGTATTCCAGATAATATTAAACCAAAGTTATTTTAAATGTATGGCACTTTTGATTTTACTAATAATGGTTCAAATAAACATGGTATTGGATTAGGATTGGTTATATGTAAAAAGTTAGTTGGATTATTGGGTCCAACTGATAAGATTGAATTGAACAGTAAAGTTGGTGTTGGATCAACATTTAGTTTTGATGTATATACAGATATTGATTAAAAAGATAGCGCTACTAAATAATACTAAAAAGAAATGACAAATTTATATAAATAAGAAAGTAAATAAAGCTATTATGATCATTAAAATGCTAATATACTCTAAATTTCTTAGTTTACTATTTTTAACTAAACCATTCACTCTAATTCAATTAACAGTAATTTAAATGGAATATAAAAAAAAAAAAATAAGAAATCTTTAGGTACATTAAAGGATATAAATGATAAAATAATATCTAATAAAACATAATAATTTCGATCTTTAAATCCTAATAAATTATTATAATATTAAAGAGACAGTTCTATAAATAATATATCCCTAAATTTAGAAGACTCTGATAATTCCAAAACAAGAAATATTGAAAATTATTTAGAGTTTCATAATGATATCACTTATGCCACATAAGCTTATAAAAATTAAAGGTATATTGAAATGAATAAAAGTCCAATAAATACACTTGTTGACTAAAATGAAAGTTTAGAGTATCCTGTTTTACATATGAGAAATCGTAAACCATTATAATTTAATGAATCAATTGAAGAAATGATGAGAATCTTATTTCCATAACCATGCACAATTTTAGTTGTTGATGATTCACCAGTTAATGTCTTTGCATTCAGATTAATCATGAAGAAATATGATTTTATTAATATTGAAGAAGCTTACAATGGAGAATAGGCTCTTTAGAAGATCAAGGCTAATAGATTAAATGGAAAAAAATATCAATATATTTTTATGGATTTAACAATGCCTATTATGAATGGATATGAAGCTACAGAATAGATTCGGATGATGGTATCATATTTATATTTATTTTTATGTGATTCTAGGAGAAAGATAATTTGACTGATACAAGCTTTATTATTGCCTTAACAGGATATGACGATCTTAAAGAGAAAGAGAAATGTTAATAAAAAGGGTTTGATGCATTTGTTTCTAAGCCTATTAAAATAATTGACATAATCTCTGTTGTTAATGAGGTAATAAATATGAAAGAATCTTTAATTTGATTTTTGATAACTTATTTTTATATCTAATTTTATAATACTTATAAGACAAGGATTAATAATATGATTTTTTATTATTTTATATATATTTAAATACAGAATTAGTCAGTTCTAAAATTAATGAATGAAATTACATTATTATTTTTTTTTATTAATAAATTTATTGAGCAGTTAATGTCCTTTACACCTCGCCAAGTCAAATCATTAAATAAAGATTTATACCTGACTAGCATACCATATAACAACAAATTTTAGAGAACTTTTACAAATGAGGAAATCTCAAGTGTGTCGAAAAAATTAGATTTTGATTAATTTGACAATTAAGTGTAAAAACCAACCTCTGTATTGAAAATGAATTCACTTCCACTTAAAGGAATAAGATGATCTAATTACAAAATATTGATTGTCAATTGTAAATAGTTTACTCATACTTTATTAAATTTCACATTCAATATTATTAATCAAATTTATAATTAATATCATAATCAACATTCAAGTTTATAAAAAGCATTAGCATTTTCATTAAAAATATAATCTATTAATTGTATTTTTATTCTCAAGATAAATTCTTTATGCAAATTAAAAGCATTTTTTTTTATTTTGAGAGATAATATTATAAAAATTGTATTTATTATAAATTTCTAGAATTTTAGGAATAGAATTTAATAAATTTGAGTTATACAAATTCTCAATAGTAGAGTGCCATATGACCTTTTTAACAATGAATATCAAGAATTAGTATATCTGATCAAAAAATTTATATATAATAAATAAATTAAAGAAATGGAGTTAAATTTCTTTAAAATTTCTATTTAAATAATAATAATCAATTATTAAAAAAGGAAATCAAAATTAAGATATTATATGAATTAGTTTAATACTATTAATCAAATGAATCAATAGTAATTTAAATATATTCTAAAATTAAAAAAAATATTCTTACTTAGAATATATAAAGCTTAAAAAGGAAATTAATCTGCATTTAATTGTTAATCTAAAAATATAAATTTATAATACTTATTTATAATTACACTAATAACCTATAATTAAGATTTTTTAAATCTAATACCATAAGTTAATTGAGTGTTTTATAGTATTAAACATACTTATATTCTATTTTAATCTACTTTATGTAATTTAATATTTTTTACAAATTAGAAACATCCATTTATAATAGATTGAAAATAGATTTAGAATTTAATATAAAATTTGATTTAAATTAATTGATAAATAACATCTCCATTATCTCTATATTTTAGAATAATGATATTTATAATGTTTATAATTTATAGATAAAGAATATTATATTTAAGCAGTAATAATTTACTTACCAAAAATAATATGAAAATCAAAAATTTTAGGAGTTTTAATGAAAAAATGAGTATAGACTTATTGTTGTTTACAAAAATTAAAAAATACTAAATATGTTGTTGGACACTAATTTTATTTTTTATTATCATCGGTACTTCATTACTTACCATCACCTCCCTTCTTTTGATTCTCTTCATCTTAAGGTTGTTTATCTTCTTTGATATTGTTACTTTCTTATTTTTCTCCTTCAACGCTAAACAGAATTCATCTTTAAAAGTACGAGCCGGAAGACTCTGAATTGTGCGAGTCTTTTGAAGAGCCTCTTGATGAGGACTTTGATTTCCGTTTTGAACTCTTTCGCTTCTTATTCAATTTCTTCTTCTTATCTCTAGATGAACTACTTGATGAGGAATCTGAACTGGATGAACTCTTCTTTTTTTTATGTTTCTTTTTACTTTTTTTTCTAGACTCACTAAAATTTATTATTATCTATTCATTACCTACTAGAGCTAGATGAACTAGAGGATGAAGATCTATGTCTACAATTCTTAGCACTAATAAAATAGGTAAATGAATAGATATAAAATATATCGTATTCTATAATAAATTCTTAAGTTGATATAAAACTTACAAATGTCCTGAGTGACCGCATGAATAGCAAAGGCCATTATTTTTACTAGGCTTATTTCCACGAGCCATTTCAACCTATAACACCGATCCTTTTACTTCTTCTTTATTCATTTTTTTAACAGCTTTCTCTGCATCGTCAGCATCTTTAAATTCCTAAAATTAATTCATAAAATCTACAATGAAACAATATTTTCCTTTCCATGCAAATTCTTCAATTTTTCCAAATTTTTTGAATAACTTTTTAATATCATGTTGATCCTCTTTAAGAGAATAACCTGTAACATATACTCTTTTCTTATTCTTTCTAGGTGATCGTGACCTTGATGAACTAGAAGAAGACATATAATTTAAATAAAGGATACTTTTTTTAATATAATTTTTATACTCAATATTTTTTTATATTTTTGATTCCTCTTCTATATTATAAATATTCACTCTCTTAGAAAACAATATATTAAACATTATACATATTTACTCATTCAAAAATTAAGAAAATAGTTAGATTCATAATTAAGAATTATTATAATAAATTAGTTCACAACTAAATATTTTAATTATTATGATTTTTATTTTCATCAATCATAAAAATGGTTTTTACAGAAGTGCTCTTAATAAAACAAATAATTTAATAAATATTGAAAAAATTAGTACATAAATTTTGTTTATTTTCTTAATCTTTCAATATCTCAACAATTTTTCATTGACTGAAATTTAAATGATTTATCTTCATCAAATGATAATATGATAAATATTTAATTATACACATCGATAGTTATATTAAAGTTATCACCTATCTTCACTAAAATTGGTAATATAAGATTTCTTTATATGTTTTAATAGAAAAAATGATTAATAATTACAATTGAAATTCTTTTAGTCATACAAAATGTAGTTTTAGGGATGCTTTATTATACCTCTAGTGCATAGGGAAATTACATGATAACTTCATTAAATTTGTGAAAATCAATTCATTAAATAATTGAAAAACTATTTAATTCAGTTGAAATAAATCATTATAATATATTAATTCAATCTAGATATAATTAACATGAAATTTTAAATTTTCATATCCCTTCTTGAAATCTTCTATTCGAGTACAATACAACAAAAATTTAATTTTTTTTTGATGATTAATTTTTCCAGATTAAGAATGATATATTTTCTTTGTAAGGTGGAAATATTCTATGCAAATTTATTATAGTAGAAATGAAGAAACAGAGCATGAATTCTCTATAATATTGTAGTGTAAATACAGTATTAATGTCATGATTTCATTTAATTTCAATAACAGGAGATGCTGATTGATAAGATTAGAAAATATATAGAAAGTAAAACCAAGAATAAATTATTTTTTGCACTTATAATAGTATCTTCTATGATTTCTAAATTTTAATTAAAAATATAATAGATATACTTTTACGCTCGATTTGGATCTTTTTAAAAAGAAAAATAAAACAAATTTATTTTGATTTAAAAATAACTTAAATTCTTTATTATTTGTTTAATATTTATAACATTTTCAATAAGGAATTAGATTTAAATTGGATTATATTTTAATTTAAAAATTATATACAATCATTAAAATAAAAAGATTAATGCAATACAAAAAATTATTATTGAAAAAATCAAGCAGATGATCTATTTTTTATTGTTGAGTAATCTTGTCTTATTATTTTCTTCGATTGATTAACTTACTTTAGGTTTTTTATATATTTTTGATTTAATTATCTATTATTGGATTTATAATTATTACTTCTCATATTCATTCACTATGATATATTTATAAAATACAATATAATTTTATGGATCTAGCAATTTTTCCACTTGATTTAATTTCAAACTTTGGCTTTTAAACTTAATTTTATGAATTTTCTAATTATTCTTATTATTAATTTTCAACAACATGAAAAGACTCCAAAATTTAGGATTATTATTATGGTAATACTTAAGAAACATGTTCAATAGACAATCTTTATTAAACATAGCTGTTTCTAGATTGCAAATCAAATTATTAGTTTGAATATAATTACTTTCTAAGTAAATCAAAGGGTTATCGATAACAGTATCTAATAAAAAAAGAGTATAGTTTCACTAATTTCAAAGATTCATCTTATAGTTTAAAAGAAACTTCTATTTACTTCTTTTTTGCTTTTTTTTGTTTTTTAACTTAATATTGAAGTGATTAAACCTTAAAAGAATAAAAAAAATAAAATTGGTTGCTTAAAATAATTTTTTTAATTTTCAAATTAAGCAATAATAAACCTGCCTCAAATTTTCTTATTTATATTGTTTATTATTTTAATTGATTTAAAGCATTTCTATAATTGGATATTTCAATAATAAACTTTATTTTTTCTAGATGTTATGATAATTTTATAATCCATTTTAATTTATGAAATGTTTCTTTTAGAATTTTATTTTAAAATTAATATAGTGCTTTACTTATTTCTTGTCCAGCTATTTACAATTAAAGCTCCTAAATAATTTTAATTAATTGTTAATTTTGAATTTTTTTTTCCATTCTTTAATAAAATATAGAATTACCCAATATCTTTAGAAACTATTCCAGGAGAATTGCATCTTTGAGGAGATTTAAAAAAACTACTACAATAACTCTAATCTATTGTAGCTAATCTTAAAATGATATAAAATGCTTCTTATTTTTGCAATTTTTTATATTATTCTTACATTTTATTGAGATACATGAATAATTTCTATGTTGCCATTAAAAAATAAATTTATTCGAATCTTAAGGATAATTTACATTATTGATATTATATTATGTCTTCTTTCATTTCTGAATATATTTTGAAAGAGGAACGAAGAAACTGGTTTATGAAATTCTAATTAATACTTAAATATAAATACTGGATATGAGTTTATTTAGGATTGAATTGAAATTTAAGACCTAACTAATTATGCCTGTGATGAAAATGAGGTTTACTTCAATAATTTGCTTTGATTACAATTTTTCATTTTTATTTTAATGTTAAATTTTGGAATCACAAATATAAATAAAGGACGTTTTGGAATTTCAGTAGATTATTGGAACTGAATTATATAGTATATTATCTAAAATAATAGAAAAGAATTAATAGAAAATTGATTATAAGAACTCAAATAAATAGTTATTTTATTAGATATTAAATATATTAACTTATATAATGAGATAATATCCTAATATTATTGCTGAAATACTTAATTTAAATGATAATAATAATTTAGAATCAACTATTTTCTCAAATTTAATTGTTATAGTTGATATCTATCTTTTATTTTTTATATTCTCCATTTGCTGCAGCAGAAACAAAACTAACAAATAATGGATTTGGTTTGAAATTTTTAGAAGTAAATTCTGGATGATATTGAACTCCAACATAAAATGGATGTTAATTTTTTGGTAATTCTAGAATCTTAAATTTATTAATAAAATAATACTTCCATTCTTTAACCAGTCTACTTATCTTTTCCAGAGAAAATCAATCCATTTTCATTTAATATTTGAATCTTTTCAGGATTTACTTCATATCTATGTCTATGTCTTTCTTATACTATTTCTGAATCATATATTTGATATGCTATGCTGTCTTTATTTCTCAAATAAATTAATTTTCTTACTCAATAAATGTTTCATGATTTCCTAATCTCATATTACCTCCAAATAATTTTGGATTGATTTCTGGCATAAATACAACAAAATTTGTTCCTATTTATTCTTCCTTCAATTCCTCTGAAGTAGCATCTTTAATTCCTAATATATTTTAAGCATATTCAATAACAGCTGCTTAAAATCCATAACAGATTCCAAGAAAAGGTTTCTTTTTTTCACGAGCATATTAACAACATTTGATTTTTAAATTAAAACCATTATATCCAAATCCACCTGGCACAAGGATAGCATCAAATTAATCACATTCTTTTTCAAGTTATTCTTCAGGATTTTAACTATTTTAGAATTCAACAAGATCAATATATTTTAATTGTAAATTTACTTTAATTGCATAACTTGCCTCTTTTAATGCTTTAATTAAAGACATATATGCATCCTAAATATAATAAATTAATTACCAAATTTTTCATATATTTTCCCATAATTCCTATTGTAATAGGTTTTTATTATTCTAATTATTTTAAATATTATCCAAATTTTGTATATTTTTCAATATTAGGTATTTTTTAAATTGGAAGTTTAAATTTTTCTAAAATATGTTCAGCCAATTTTTATCTTTATAATACTTCTGGTACATCATAAATATGTTAAGAATTTGGAACAGAAAATATTGAATCTTTAGATATATTTCCAAACATAGCTAATTTATCTCTTTATGAAATTTATAATTCTGTTTCAGATCTACATATTATGAAATCAGCTATTAATCCTGTATATCTAAGATCCTTTATGCCATTTTATGCAGGTTTTGTTTTTTGTTCATTATTCAATGTTAAAATATAAGTAAGCATAATCTATTATATTCAAAATTATATTACCAAACCAACATTATCTTTTCCCTCTTCATTTATCATTTATCTAACAGCTTCATAATAACAAGTTGATTCCAAGTCACCAACAGTTCCTCCTACTTCTACTAACAATATATCAGGTCTATCTTCAGTGTCATGTTTCAATGGTACAGTCGTTAAGTGTCTAATCCAATTTTTTATTTCATCAACCACATGAGGTATCACTTAAACTGTTTTTCCTAAATAGTGTCCTTCTCTCTCTTTTCTATTCCTATAATTTAAATATATTACTATAATATTTTTTAATAGAGTTTTCCACTAGTTAAGCTATGGTAAAAGGACAACTCAATATCTAAAAATCTTTCATAATTTCCAATATCTAAATCAACCTCTCCTCTAATATTGTAATATTATTCCTTACCCATCACCTGTTACAAAAACTTCGCCATGCTCATAAGGATTCATTGTACCTGCATCAATATTCTACTTTTGTAATAAATCATACTAAATATGGATCAATTTTCAAAAAAGACACCTTATAACCGTATTATTTCAATAGCATTCCTATACTACTATTTATGGTTCCCTTTCCAATACCAGATGCGATTGCACCACAAATAAACAAATACTTACACTTATTTAACATATTAATAAAAATGGATTAAGTTTTTAATCATTTAATAAAAAGAGCAACTCCCTAACCCATTATTAAAGTTGGAACACCTTGGTAATGCATTCCTATTAAAAATGATAAACAAGCAAGAGATACAACAGAAGTTCATATGTCTAATTAAGGATTTAATGAATTGGCTTAATTTGATAAATTTATGAATCTTGAAGTTGTTTGGCTTAATGAAAATTAAGTAAACAAACACATTTATTTAGTTAACCAATATTAAAGGTATTGAATAAAATTTCAGAATTAAACATCTATATTTGCAAAAAAATAAAATTAGTACACTTGAAGGTTTATAAAATTTGAAGCATTTATAAACTTTAAGTTTATTTAATAATGAGCTTAGAGACTTAGAAAAAAATCTTTTAATATTAAAGGAGTTTCCTGGACTTTCTAATTTGGGTACTTAATTTGCTTATATAATCTTAGATTTATTTAATAATCCAGTTGCAGAAGAACCCTATTATAGAAATAGAGTAATATCAGCTCTTCCTTAATTACAATTACTCGATCGATCAATTATAACTGTATAAGAAAAGATTAAAGTTGAAGCATGGTACAAGTATTTCAAAGCAGAAGTTAAAATTAAAAAGAAAGGATAGAAGAAGTAAAAGTTACTTCCATCTTAAATCTTCTCTGTTGGGGAGAAAATACTTTATAAGGAAGTTGATGAAATTAAAGCAAAGAGAGAATAAGAAAAGGCTGATGAAATATAAAGAGAAAGAACTAGAATTAAAATGAAAGAAAAAACATTTGATCCTAATAAATTTCCAACAAATGAATTAAAAGAATAATTAAGGTAAAGACTTCATGACAATCCAATGAGTATAGTAAATGAATGGGAAAAGGGGAAACTTAAGAAGATATTTAAATCATATGATAAAGGTAATATATATAAATTTAAATTAGAAAAGAAAGGATTAATTACATAAGATAAATTGTAAGGATTATTTGGAGATTTAATTAATGATATAGCAAATATTGGTAAAGTACCAGCTGTTTCTTTTGAAAAATTTAAAGAAATTATGTCAGAAGATCCATTACCTTGGGACTCTTTTTGTTTTTAATTGAATCATGTTGATTTTTAAAGGGCACCTGAAGAATTATTATAAAAGAAAATAGATGAAAAATATAAGGAATTCAATAGAAGATTGAATGCAGGAAAGAAGGCTGAAGCAAAAGAATTTATGATTGAAGCAGTTAGACTTGAAGCAGCTAGAGATAAAGATGAGCATAAGTAAATGAATTTAATAATAAATAAGATTACCAGAGATTATACCAGATGATAATACTAAAATAAGGAGTGATTGTTTTGATTTTTCAAGATATAAGTATAAGTAGAATTTTACAGATACTGCAAAATATCTATTACAGTGAATTTATTTATGATTATCAATATATTTTGAATGATTATATATTTATAACATTAAGACATGAACTATAAAGGAATTAACATATTAATTGATAATAATAATTTAATTATAATTCTTTTTATTGATATATGATAACATTTAAAGTCATATTACCAGATAAAGTTGTAGGAGAATATCAAATCTCTAAAAACTCAAATGTTAAGGAATTTATCTAATTCTTGAAGGAGTAGAATTAAAATAAGGATTGGAATAATTAGGAATTAGAGTTATATTTATTTAATTAATTACTCAAAGAAGAAGGATCAGTTGATAAAATTATATGTAATTATAACACTGATAGATTAACTTTGAAAGTAAAGAATGGAGAAGTATTCAAAAGATTTCAAAAATTAGTCACTTAAGCTTTGGAATAAAATACTGAAGCTGGATATGAAAAGGCTTTTAAAAAAAGTTCAACCTTATAGGAATTACCACTAAGAAATTAGAAAAAAAAAATTAACAAGTTGTTGTCATTCTTGGTTGATGCCACACAAAAAATAGCCTATATGTCTAGATAAAAATCTTTGAATTTTGTTGAGAAAGTTTTAGAAAAAGAATAAGGGAGACATTAAACAACTAGTTAAGACCCAAGTCTAATAAGACAAGAAGAGGATCCTCTTAAAAATAATAATGATACTGTTTTAGGAATATTGGATCATTTTAATGAACCTGAAGGCTAAAATATTATAAACCAAGATCATTCTATTGAGTCTAATAACTAAAATTTTAATCAAAAAAATAATAACACATAAATAAAACCTAAATCACTAAGCCCAGAGGCTAAAAAATACTTAGAAAGAAAGAAAAAAGCAGAAGAGAATTTGAATGATCCATTTTAATAAGCAAAAGCTAAATAATTAGTTGCTGAATTAAATAAAAAAAGAAAAGAATAAGAAGACAGAAAAAAGATATAATTACATAATGAATCTTATCGATTGTAAGAAAGCATTGAGAAATATAAAATTGAAAGAGAATAATAAAGAGAGCATCTAAATTAATAAAAACGTATGAAAATAAAGGAAAGTTTAGAAGAAATGTAGAGACATCGAGATTAAAAAAAATAAAGAAAATAAGAGCAGAATCAACTTTTAAAAAAATTGAAAATCTAAGAAATAGAGAAAAGAAAACAAATAGAAGAGAAGGATCAGATCTTAAAAAAAATATATTATGAAGATGCAAAGGTAATTTAATAGTCGATTATTAAAGTTAAAATTATCTCAAAGAAAAAAATTAGCTATTCCTATAAGATTAGAAGAAATAAATAAACACGAGGAGGATTATTTAAATAAGAAATAGCTATTAAAGTTAGAAAAGGACTAGAAAAAATTAGAGAGGGAAATTCTAATATAATAAGAAACTAAGTAACTGTATAAAGCTAGGAATATATTATAAAAAGTTATTGATGGAGATTAACAATTAAAAAACTAAGAAAATGCTAAAAAATAATAAAATGCTGAAAAATTACTGAGATAGTAAAAATATGCTGAGATAGTTAAAGAATATCATAAACCAAACATGAAAATATAAAAGGACATTTAACTTAGTAGAGCTTTACATAATAAGTCTGGCCATTCATTATAAGAAGAATATATTGAGTATTAAATTTAAACTTTTAAATAGTTTTTTAAAAGAGGGAGAAGGAAAATAGAGTGCAACAAAAGTAGATTCAATTCGTAATAAACTTTATAGATAAGGATATTAAGGATCAGGTATATTTATAAATAATAGTAGAAAAGAATCTATTTAAAATTTAAAATGTTTTAAATCTAAAAAAGATACAAAAAACAATAGTGACAGAATCATTATAAAAAGGGTTTATACCAAGTCCATCAGTTTATTACCATCCAAAACCAATGAAAAGTGAACCTTAATTAGAAGAACTATAAAAGTAGAAGAAACCCATAAATTATTTGAAAGAATTCGAATAAGAGAGAATGAATTAATAAGGAAAATTAGGATAATTAAAAACCAATAGTTATCCAAGATTGCAAAACGATTATCAATCAATAATGGAAAGAGGAAAACGTTATGAAAAAGAGGCTTAACGTAAAGAACATCAAGCATATTATTTGAATGATGAGAAACTAAAAGAAGAAGCAGATGATCTATTTTTAAAAAGTGTTTAAGAAAAAATAAAATTCTTAGAGAAGATTTGATGAAATATTTAAATTTATCTATAAACTTGAAATAGTTATATTATTTGTTTATTTACATTTATGTTATCTAATAACTATAGTATAATTAAAATAACCGATTTTAATTTGATAAGTTTAAATTAACTGATAAGTAACTTAAATGAAGGTATAAAAAATAATTATCTGATCCAATATTGTAATATTAATCGTTTTTTACAAACATATCTCTAATATTATTATTTATATATTATATAATTAACAACAATTAATGGAGCTTCCTCCTATTCCCACTTAAAAAAATTAATCATAATTTGGAATTGATAATTTAGTATCATAAACACATATTTATAATACATAAACTCAAAATTAAGAGACTATAAAACCTTTTAAGTAATTAGTGTTTTTTATAAAAGGCGAAACTTCAATTTAAAAGTAGGTGACATAGTTTATTTCAAGTCCTATTTGACTGATGACTATAAAGGAGTTATATCTGGTGATGGTATTGCAAGCAATAAGTTGGAATGTATATAGATTTTGGGAAAAAATCAACAAATAATAGATCCATCAAAGAAAAGTTTATAATAAAAAGTTGGCAGTTTGACATTTCAGAAAAGCTTATTTTAGGTAATTACAGGGAAAAAATATCATTATTAAAATTTTCTAGAGCAAGAACGTTCAAGATCAATAGATGATATTAGAGAGTAGGCTATAAATGAAGATATTGATTTAGATTAATGTTAATTAGAATATGAAGGTAGATTAAAAGAACTTGAAGATAAGGCTAACGAAGAAATTTTAGAAAATTAACGGTTTTATGATCTTGCTTATGGATCTAATATTGTTTATGGTTAAGAAATATAACTTAAACATATATATTCATCATGCATACTATCTTTTAATAGTGCTATATTAGCAAAAGAAAATTGTTGTAGAGAATTATCTTTAGAAGAAATATCCAATTTAAATTCTAATTTTAGAATTTTATCTATGAATCAAGTAAAAAATCCAGGAGAACCTATTTTATATGGAGATTAAATAATAGTTCAAAATTCAAGTTCAAATAAATGGTTTATGAATATATAGAAGCCAAACTAAAAATATGATAAAAAAGATGGTTTAGAAGTTAATTGTTCTTAAATAGGATTTCCTTTAAAAATTGCATGTTATGTTGATTCTAAAACTGAATAAGAAATAAAATAATAAATTATAAAATAAAAAGCACTTCTTAGTGGAGATGTAGTAACAATAAAAAATAGATATTTGGGTGGTTATCTCTCAATTCAAAGATAACTAAGAATTACTGAAGGATTAGATAAAAAAGAAGTTTTTATTAAGAATTATGATACAAATATAACATACACAAAACATTAATTTTATTTTGATGTTGAATAAGTTAGAAATGAAAAAATTGAATATATGTATAAATTATATGTTGATTCTTCAACAGATGCAGAAAATAATTTAAATAATTTATGGTAAATTTAACATGTTGATAGTCTAACCTTTTCAAAACCAAATTATGAAAGTGTTTTCTTAATAAGACATGTATGTACAGGATTATTTTTGGAAATTTCTCATCATTCTGCAAATTTAACTTATGATGGATTAAGATAGGAATGTCAATTTCATTTAAGATCTAAAAAGACTTTAGATGATTAAATCTTATTTAGTGAAGCATATAAATTATAATCTGTTATGAATGTGTAAATTGATGGTTATGTTACATAAGAAAATTTAGTCATTGTTTGTTTAGATGATAGAGTAGCAGTATAAAGAAAAAGTTAAAAATAAAATATAGAAAGAGAAACATTTTTGCTGAAATTAGCAACTCCAGAGTAAGCTAAGACAGCTTTTAGAATTAATTCTTTATAACAATATTTAATTTAATTTTATATATTTTTATAAGATTGGGGTATATTAAAGACATCAGCTTAAGGTTTGGAAGTTATAAGAACTTATGATTATTTTGAAGCTTTTAATAATTAAAAGATATTATATGATGAAATTTTATAATTATTTTAAACTTTGGAAAATTTAAAATTGTATTTAAATAATGAAGGTTAAGCCTAGACAAATGAATAATAGTAATTTAAATAAAAAGCTTTAATGGATAATGATATTATTAATTTGCTCTTTGCAATTTAAAGATTATGCAATTTTATGATATATGGTAGTTTGAGCAATAATAACTCATAAATATAAGACAAAACTCCTTAAAAAATTGCAAAAGCAAAACTTGATCCTCCAATTTCATCATCATAAAAATTGAATTGTATATAAGAAATATATGATGTTTTAAGTTTATGTGTTTAAAAAAATCAGGATACAAGTAACTATGTTTTGACATTAAAGATGAATAAGGAGAGTATTTTAGATTTCCTATTGCAATAATTGAAATATTAGAGAAAATATATATCTAATCTCATAAAGGAAAGTGTAAGGTATACTGATATGAGTGAATCTAAAGAAAATATAAAAAAATGGGTTAATTAATTGGAAAATCTATCGGAAGATAATATTGAAGATTAAACTCTTTATATAGAAATTTTAAGTTTGATAATGATAGATCCTTATGAAAATCCAAATAAAATATGTTAGAATGCATGTAGAAGATTATTATTTGGAACAAAAAATTAAAAAGAATAATAATACCCTTTTCATAAAGTTTTAGTATCCTTAGATATATAAGAAGAGAATAATAATTATTATCCAATAGTATAATTTTATCCAAAAAGAGAAAAAGGATTGTAAATGCAATATGTCAATGAATTTGGTTAGAATAATTAATTATTTTGTTAACTCTACTTAAAGTTTATTGATAAATAGGCAAGAATTGCTTAGAGATTTTTGAATAAAAGACCTAGTTTAATTGATGTTGTGATTGATTTCTTTACAATAGAAACACTCAAAGAAAATTAATTAGTAAAATAAGAAGATGCTAAATTAGTAATTCCAATATTCTAGAAATATGAAAATTATTTAATGAATGTAATGGGTTTATATTCTTCATTATGTAAAGGAAGAAATTAAAAAAATATTAAATGTTTGATGAGAAATTGTTTTTTAAATCAAAAATTCTTAGAAATATGTATAAAACGTTAATAAAATATTAAATCTGAACTTAGATTTGAAAAAACTTTAATTGAATTGTTTTGTAATTTATTCTTAGATATTGATCCATTAATCAAGATTTCATAAAATTATGACCCCTTTTATAATAATAATACATAAATAAATACAATAAAATGTTATTTAAGTGATGATATTGATTAATTCAATATATAGAATCCTTCAGGACTTTATTTTTATGAAAATAATGCATCTAAATCCTTAAAACGAAGTGATGATTATTAGAGTTTTCTTCATTCAAAAGAAACTAAAGCAGAACATTAATAACTTAAATTATATGCTGCAAAAATGTTATCTAGAACTCATATAAATGATGTTCGTTTATATTATTTAGAAATGTTTACTAAAGAAGATTATCCAGAACATCTTTTACAAGAAGCAAGTTATGATATCTTTTAATCAAAAAAATTTAGTCAAAATAATAAATAAAAATATGATTATTCTCGTCTTGCTTATTTATAATTACATTATTTTTTAGGTTTATTGACAATAATCAAAAATAGCATAAATTTAGGATATAATTAATTAGATGAAAATTAGAAAATATTCTCAATACTTCCTAATATATTTGTAGCCTTAATTTTATAATAGATTCCAGATATGAGAATACACAGATTTTCAGAAAATGAATCATTTATATCAAATTTGAATAAATTAAGACAATCAATTGATGATAATATTTGGGTTGTTACATTCCTTCCTACTACTGAATAATTATATGAAAAAAGGAAATCAAAACATAAAAATCTAGATAAAGAATATAAAAGAATGGATTAATCATCTAAATTATATATGCAATTTTAAAGAAATTGGATTCTATATTTGTTAATATGGACTTATTAATATTGTAATGATGAAATTCTAAGAATGTAAGTATATTTGGAAGCTTTGTCTATTTTAAAAATCTTTGAACAATTAAAATTAAATCTATAAATTCTAGAATTTCTATTTAGTTCATCTTAATAAAATGAATCTAATCCAAGTTCTCCAAGTTTTAGAGATTATGATTAATTTGGATTTGATGAAGTTCTAAATCAAGAAATATAAATTAAAAAATCTAAAACTCCAAATTCTAAATCCATTTATAGTGTTTTCAAAGAGCCTGATGGAAATAGCATTTCTGGATTATTATTTACTTGTTTATTAACATCAGGGAAGAGAAATAAATTAAATGAAGAATTATTAAAAAGAATAATTTAAAGTTTTCATTCACCAAAATATTCTATCTAAGAAATCAATTAAGTTGAAATAATTGACAATTTATAAGAATTAAGATACTTTTCAATTATTAATGGAAATTCAAATAGTGTTTAATTAATGAGTCCTAAAGAAGCAATATAATTATCAAAAAGAGCATTAAAATTCATATTAAGTTAAAAAGATAATAATGTAAATCAAAAAAGAATTTCATCATTTGATTTATTAAAAGGATACTCATCTAAAATAATTGAATAATTTGAACTGTTTTTTAAACCTAATTCTTAAGATTTTTAATATTTAAAATCATTTTAAAATATATTAAGGAATGCAAATATTCATTTAGTATTTTTGAAATTTTTAGTAGATCCAGAAATAATAAATAGTTCTAATGACATAGTTTTTTTTTATAAAAGAATTGTTCTATTTTTGGAATATTTTATATTAGATAATGATACTAATATTGCAATTTTAGCAGATAACCAGTATTTATTTAAAATTCTTGATGTCATTTAAATACCTTAACCATAAGCAGAAGATAAGTTTTATATTCCAATCAAAATAACAAAATTAGCAATCAAAATGATTTCTACGATCCCAGAAAACTAACATGATAATTTAATAAATTAAATATTCCTAAAAATTTACAAGATAGGAAATCAATTAATGTAAAGTCAAGAGTTTTATTTAAAAGT